ACAGACGGATGGACAGACGGACAGATGGATGGACAGACGGACAGACAAACACAGAATGACGTTTATAGGTAAAAGTTATTTGTACATTTACATGCTGATCTCAAAATACAATGGCCACCTCCGCAGCTTCGTCGTCATGGAGGTAGCTCTCCGATCTTACGTTTACATGCAAATGTTCACTTTAACATCACTAGCCCCACCCACTTCGCGCTTATGACCCTTGGGCTACACCCACTTCAAACCTTTTAAACAGCCAAAAGGCGTCCTCTGGTCTAACACAGTTTGAGACTAACCTCGAAAGAAAGCTGTCTGGTGTGGACCAATCAGTTTCAAAGACAATGCATATACTGTCAGAGCATGTTTTTTTTGCATTCTTACCACTAGTATATGTGGTTAATGCAGACATGATTCCTTGAAAAATGTTTCAGTTTACTGTGTTTTAACATCTTAACACCTGTTTTGTTGCCAGAAAAAGGGGGAAACCCTATTCTCAAACCTCAATTCCTGTTCACGTCTGCAGAATATTTTATGAAGTTTGTCATGTAAATAACCTCCTTCACTCATCTCAATATTTCATATTTTGCGTCTATCATTGTTATTATTAATAGGTTCCAATCATTGTTGCTATTAAGTGAAACAAATAATTTAACCACATAAACTGCCCACTTCAATAAGTGGTAATATAGTTTTGTATTTATTCACAGGCGGTACCAAAAAAAAAATGTGTCGTAACCCTCCGATGATGTTGGATGCAATTACCAGCGAAACATCGTATTCAAATTGTATGTTGTGATTTCACGCTTCAACACACCAGTGGGCTAAAGCAGTGAACTGTTTGTATTTTGTCAACGTGACACTTTTTTACTGATTGGCCGTGTCGGGTGGCGGAGGGTTACGACACATTTATAAATAACGCGATCTAAACCCAAAAACGTTGATTATGAATAATATTGGTCGCGAAAGCCTATGTGTTAAACCAAAAAAACAATGATATAAGTGTACCACGTGTTGATGTGGTGTCAAATAGAGTTCAGGTAAATATACGCAGTATGCATGCACATTGAACACTCTTGATTTGTTCAGTATCTATGCTTAGAATCAAGTATGCTGTGGGATCCTTTCCACGTAGACAGAAATAACTTAACTCCCATGTTCACTAATTCAGGACCACCATCAAAGCGAGGCATTGAAACTGATCCAAGAGAATAAGGATAAATTCAAGCAATCGATTGGAGCAGATCCATCGCACCTGATGAAATATTTCGAAGACTCACTTTCTATTCCATATGCAGTTCGCCAAGCAGCCAAGAACAAGCATGGAGAGGAGTGTGTGGAGCTCATACTGGACCACTTTTTCAGCCAAAAAGAGACGACGTTGTGGGGACTGTGGAAAGCCACTATTGAGCTGGTTTCAGAAGCACGGTATGACCGACAATAATAAATCATGCATATGCATGTTTATGTACAACTTGCCATTGTAAATTTTCAAATTGGTTGAGTACCGTAATTAACATATATGTTGCTTGTGCCTTGATTCTGTTGGCACATTTTGGCAGAACAGGATAGTGAATGCCAAAACACAATTTGCATGAAAAGCTGAATGTACAAATGCATTCAAAGCTGTGTTTGTCACAGGTGAGTCTGTGCGGTCCATTCGAGAGAAGAAATGGGATCTGAAGCTGTGGAGCGGAAGAGACTGCCAGGATCTACTATCACAGCTGACGATTCAAAGAAACAATCCTACGAGGTTCTTCACTCGAGCCAAGGGCATGCATAACTACAAGGAGTGTGCAGAGCTCGTGCTTAACTACTTCATATACAGAGGCAATGACGATTGCCTCCAGCTGCTGGTTGGTCTGCGTGTCGTGCAGGATAAGTATCCTGAAGTCAAGCAGGCAGTGGATGCACTCTCTTGGTTAGAAATTACTACATTTTAAACGCCTTCCTCCTTTTCATGTAAACAAGTGGAAATATGAAAACTGGGTGACCAAGTGGCCAGTGCCCACTCACGAAGGAGTCAGTTGACATTTGAAGCTTTCGTGACTGCAAGGATTTATTTTCTTAGATTTTTTTTGGTAAAGTCACGTAGGTAAAAAATTTAAATTAATCAAAGAAAAATAAAAAATAAACTAAAAATCACGATGTTTCGGAGGCAACACAAGCTTCCGTCTTCAGGTGGAACCGTCACAGCACAATAGCTGTATCAAGTGAGAGAAATTCTAAGAAAACAGTCCTTGTATATATACTGGTTGAGGGTGGGAGGAGCCAAGGTAGCCCCTGAATGTTATTTTTGTGAGGTTCGGTGCGGCTGAAGCACGCTGTTAGGAATGAGCCTTTGTTGTGATAAACTAGGTGCGGATGATGACGTGACTTTACATAAAAAAACTAAGAATATAATAGTCAGTTGACAGTCTGAACCCAGCTACTATAGTCCTGTAATTGATTTCTAGAAGGAATTATCAGCCAAGTTCTATCCACTGCTGAATGAAGGCATCCTAAAGCCACTGTTAATCATGTGATACAATCCATATAGCTACAGCACCTGAGCTGATTTAACTCCTCCATCTCCATGGTGCGCCCATCCTAGGGTGCATTCCCTCCTCTGCCTGCCACTCTATCGCTATTCTCCACCAGTGGGGTACCAATCATTTTAGTGACATGTCCTTACAACGCCCAATATATTTTCCCAGCAGTAAAAAACATTACATTCTATAATCCATGGTAGGCTATGTACGGTGCAAAAAGAAGTGCAACATACAACATCCATACACGTGTTCCTTTCTGTCTTTCACTGTAATTCTAAATGTGGACTTTGCACGTTTTCCAATTTTGCTCCTTATTCTTTGTCAATGTCAACGTTTCTGATCCACGTCATGCCAGGTAATGTACAGTGAATTAAACTGTTATTCCACCATTGGAACCTCATTTGCCAGTAAAAAATATGATAATTGTTTTTTTACCCTTCTATCTGGCAACAAAACTGACACCTTTTTTTACAAGGAGTCATGTTTGCATAGACCACAATACCTGCAGTCATAATGCAAACAATAAGAAGAATAAACTGTTATTCTTCAGGAAAATGGGTGTTAATTTTCCGGAATAAGTTCAGTTTCCAAAAGCACTCCAACCTCCTTTTTTTTGTTCACCTCTAAGGCTGAAACAGCGCTGACTGTCTGTTTTTACTGCAGTGTTTTTCCAGAGGGTTTTCAAGAAGACCTCCTTATTTCTGAACGTGTATACCAAGTCATCGCTGCAACAAAAAATCGAATCCAACAAATGGGAGCTGATCAAGGCACTACACTCCAACCTGACACCCCTGCTGTCCCAACTACAGAGCCGAAAGATACTTACTGACACGAATATATAGTAAAGTCACGTAGGTAAAAAATAAATAAATGAAAACAACTAAATTAAATCACGAAGTTTCGGGCGTAACACAAGCGTCCGTCTTCAGGTGGGGACAACGCAGCGAAAGCACAACCGCTTAAGTGTGTCTAAGAGATAGCTGTGACGAGGAATTATATAGTTGTGGGGGAAGGAGGGGGAGGGGGCCTGGTTAGTGTGGAGGTGGGGTGTGGGCTGGGAGGTAAAGCATGGAGTTCAAACTGAAGCTTTGCGATGCAGGGGCCGAAGTAGACAATAAAGCTAAGTTAAGTCATCCTTTGTTATGCTTCAGGGGGGGGGGGGGTAAATTTGAGTTATGCAAGCTAAACTTGCACGCTCGAAACAACGTGTGGCAAAAAAAAATTCAAGTGAGGGGAATAAGCCGAGCTTGGAGTCAAATTTCATAGTGATGATAGTGTGTAAAGCTGGGAGTAAAAGACTGGTAATATGGGTATCAATATGAAAATAAATATAAACTGGTTGCCTTGCAGTAAACTGCACGACAGCTAAAGTTTAACTTGGTTAATTACATCCTTCCAATGATTGCTCAATTTGAAACCATCCTCTCGGTTGAAGTTATGTCTATGTTTGAATATCTGGGTGGCTTCATGGACAAATCTTTGGTAGTATCCAGGAGGCTTGCAGAGTACCTTGTTATCGGAGAACACAATGTCATGAGAACCAGCAGTATTATAACAGTGGTCAGCTATGGCCGAAGAATTCGTCCTGCCGTGTTTTAAATCCGACTTGTGCTCGCGAATGCGGTCCGAAATATGTAGTTTCGTTTCCCCGATATAACAATCCTGTGGAAGAGATACGTGGATGATACTTTCGTCATTTGGCCACATGGTCTCCCAGCATTGAACCAATTTCTAGACCACATCAACTCCATACACCCATCCATCAAATTCACCACGGAAGTGGAGAAGGATGGCAAGCTACCATTCCTGGATGTTCTGTTTGAGAGGAGGCCCAATGGCTCTTTGGGACATTCTGGTCCTCATTAAGATGATCCATGTAAGGTGGTCCATGTATTCCATGAACCTGTCTAACTTGTATTTGTCTTCTGAAATATTTTTGTAGCAAAAATAACATCACGTTCCCATCCGCGCAATGAAATTACCTCACACGGCACATGATGTATATCGTCCTGAGATAACCTCACGCATGATGACGTCATTGAGAGCAAATGGGGAGGTGCACGCGCATTGGCCACGAGGCCAGATGCTAAGCCTTTTGGCACTAGCTGCCTCCAAATCTATGGTGACTCTTTAATAAATTTGGTCAACATCCTTCAAGACAATTCCCTAATAGCAGCAACACTTTATAATAAACTCTTGTTCACATTGATGAGAGTTTTTGTGCCTCCACATTACTAAATGATTAACAGAGTTAATAAGTTAACGCTTTACACTTTTAATTGGATAGTGTTAACATCATCCAGGGATTGTGTTGCCATCGATGCACAAGCATCAAGCCAAGTCAAACATTTGCCATTAGCACTGCCATTTAACCGAAACACACACAGAGTAGCCTGGCAGTGGGTCTAAAAATTTACCAATGCCTAAGACATCGCTATGTTCTAAGCAACACCCTTTGTGACTGTGTCGGTGCAGGAAGCGAAAGAAAGGGAGCAGTGGCAAGGCAGCGAGAAGGCTACTGAATACATGCTGAAGCTGGTTAATGTGATAAGACGACAATGTCAAGGAGTTCTGGATAGTGCTGTGGGCTTTACGTGAAACCTACCCGCACCTGGAGGACATTTTTGAGCAATTTTAACTGGGGAGCAGGGAAATGTGGTGCAGTCGTTAGAGCACCTCGTTACCCACGGAATTTTGAACCCAATGTTGTTTAAATCTTTTTTCCCTCGCACTACCCGTCTGTAGAATTCCCCACCATCTTCTATTTTCACAAGTTCTTGTAAAAACCTTGATCAATCCATCATGAGAGTTTTTGTGCCCCCACAGTACAAAACGACCCAACACATCTTATTAACTTTAATCTATTGAACCTTCAGCAAGTGCAGTTTGTTGCTGGCCAATTGCCTTTTGAGGCATTTCCTGTCTTTTTATGACTTTCGTGTTGTGTTGTAATTTTTAAATGATGGTTGTCAATTAGATGTTTGATCAAATGGAGCATTAGGTAAGATGGAACATAAGTTAATATTGCACATTTGGAATGCTCAACTTTGCGTTTCAAATGGATTTTGTTTAACCAGGTGATAACTCAAGAGACCAGAATGAGTCTCATTTGCAAGAGTGACCTAGGTCACCAAAATGGCAAACACAATAAAATAAAACAATCACAACAGTGAAACCAACATTAATTCGTGCAAAAATAAACGTGTGAGAGAAAAAAATTAAAGTGCATAAATATTAATTGATATTACATTAAATACATTTCCGATAAGAAAATTAGCTCGTACAAATTACTTTAAAAAATCTATTGTAGTAAAATTAAGTTACAAAAAACGTATTTAGGATATAATCAGATTTATATCAAATATATTTGCAAGTGAAGTTATCATACAGAATCGATAGCTCAGCATTATTGTGCTTGAGATCATAACCAATTACATTTTGAAGCAGTGGAATAAAATGTACTAATATTATCTGTCCTATCTGTATGGGATGGGGTGTTGCCCCTTACACGTGTGAATTTTCTCCAGGTACTCCAGTTTCCCACCACATGCATGAACACTCATTCATTCTCTGAAAACATTAATCTCTGTGCCTGTGTTTGTAACTATGCAGCAGTGGGATGCAGTTGCATAAATTATGTTATTTGAAAAATCAATATTATGAGTAATTCCATTAATTTAGGGCATTACATTTTCGTCATATGTTTAATCTTTGACTTTGATATTCATGGTGGGAAGAAGTGACCATTAGGTCTGGTTCACAACTGCTTCTAGAACTATTTCGACTTAATGATTGTAATGATTGAGTCCTTGGAAAATAATCACAAAAGGGCTTTGTCCTCACCATATCGATCATTCATGTTAAATAATTCCAGATCGTTTGTGGGAGGGCGGGCTACACCCCACATCGCCGTGCTTATGGTGGAGGCGTGCGAGGTGTAAATATCCTGGTTTGTTGAATATGTAGTTGTTGAAACCAGCTTTATTTGGGTGTAACTCATTCTGAGTCCTTTAAAGCTTCAACACAGAACACGCCTCAGCTTTTGCTGTTAGCAGGCTCTGAGCATTTACTCCTCGTAGAAACATGCGTCTAGATTATATAGATTATTTTGCTGGTATCAATGCTGTCATTTGTGGCCAGGTCGCTTTTGAAAAAAAAGCTTATAGGTCAGTGGGCTTTCGTTGGCAAGAAAAAATATATATAGTATGATTTGTGTATATATATTTTTAAGTGCATTTTTATCTTTACTATACTTTGCAGTCATATCGTGGTTTTGTATTGTTTGTTTAAAAAAGAGCTTTATAGCTCATCGGATTCCTCCAATATAAATACATATTCTGATTCTGATTTTAATTTAAGTAAAGCTCTGCTCATAAACGAAGACTTTGTCGAGCTTATGCTTAAAGAATATCTCCCGAGCACACAAATTACTCGGTGAGATGGCCATTACATCAAGACGTGCTGAGCAGGGCAGCTCAAAGTCAACGTGGCTTTACGCAATACAAGTCTATACAACATTATCGAAAGCTTGCTGCTATACAGTTGGTAAACGTACTTTTTACATTACGTAAAATACATTATTATTTATATAACGACACAGATATATAAATCAGACATTGTCCACTTTTGTATTGTCCTACTTATAATCTCCCAAAATAAACGAATGATTACTTTACTAGGACCCATTCCTTAAAGAGAGGGTCCTTGCCAATAACATTTGTCAGTTCACCAGCATTGGTTCAAGCAAGCCTGAATGCTGATCAGACATTTAATGTGGAATCTGGATCCAGAGTGTTTGTGCTGAACGCATGCCACACAATCTTCTGAGATATATATCACAGATTATCTGATAATATACTTTGATACTTATTTCAAGCACACTTTAGAGAATGGATGTTTATTGAGCCTCGGTAAATTGCAACATTGCTATTGGCCTTGATAATAGCAATACTGAGGCACATTGGGTGCAACACAGGAATTCAATGCGTGAAAATGACCGCACAGGTGGGGGCAGCAGAGAGACTGGGTGGTACACCGAGACATATCTTCTTAGGCACCAAAGGTATTTTCACGAAGAGAGACACGAGGAGGTGGTCATGCCAAGCTGGGTTGTCTTGGTTACACATATATTGATACATATTCGTCAGCCAGTTGTCTTTGTTATCGTTTGACTTTTAACAAATGCAGTTCTGAATGCTAATTTGCAGCACTTACTGAAAATGTCACGTTATTAAAGCACTTTTTATTATGCCTTGCGTAGGTCTTGTGTGGTTTATTAGTCGATGTATCGATCGACATTTCTGAGGTTTCCTGTTGCTGAGCTCTCTGAACTGCAGAGGTTTAATGATTATAACGTAATAAACTCATCGGCAAAACTTTTTAATTAATTATTAAGACTACATGACGTAAATAACTGATTATTTCGTGTTTTACCTGAGATAAATTTCCAGCCATAGGTTCCATCAATGGTGGGACATTTCGGAAACAGTAATTTGTCCCCACCCTCCCATCACCATCAAGCACTAACCATTGTGATGCAGTACGGTCAAATAATCTCTATGACTGAGACAGTGGAGAGACCTATAAGACATAAGATTGATTAGGGGCTCTACGCTATTCATACTCACAATGTACTGTTATGTAGTGAATGCTGTTACACGTGACTCTACGTGACAGCGTTAGAAGAAATAAATGGAGAATCATCCTTGAAGTGGACGTCAGCCGACAGCGGCAGAGCAAATCGACAGCCTCCTCCAATGCGTGCAGGGGAGCCAGTCCACCCTGCTCGCCCTGTCGCACTTCACGGCCAGAGACACTGTGTGCCACATGCTCCTGCTGCCCACATTCGCACTGTTACGAAGTAGGACCCATAAATGTTAAAAGCTGCACACAACCCCTGATCACAGCGGGAGTGGTTCAACTGGACCCAATTACGACGATGTTGAAAGCCACGTACCTGCACAGACGGTTTACCAATGAGGTTCTGGTTACGCAGACCGATGTGTCTCCAGTCCTCGCCCTAGAGAGTGTGGACATCACGCATCCTCAGATGTAGGGGCTGTGGTGATACCCAAACTGGGTATCGGGACTTCAGAGGTACAAGTGGAGGCTTTGAAATATCGACGTGAAGAAAATGCCAGTGCTGCATGCGCATTGTCCAACATCTTGGTCACTGTCGCTTGGTGGCGAACTGGCAGCCACGGTAGTGGGGCTGTCGTCATTGCACCAGAGATTGTTCTCATGGTGACATTCCGTTGAATGTCCACCGATTGTCTGTTAGCCGATGGAATCCATAGAGGTGATCATCATTCTTCTACAGAGTAGCACAAAGTGAAGCCCGCGCTACGTTGAGCCGGCCAGCTGTGCCAGACCATTTCGTGAGCACAACTTGCTGTATTCTTTCTTAAGCTGTTGATGGAATGTCAGACTCCTCTCCAACGTAACTCCAAGGAAGCCAGGCTCTGCATCATGCATTAGCAACCGGGCGTTCAGATGCACTTTTAGCTCGTAGTTGTCTGCAATGGTGTGTAGGTAAAACACACTGGAAACTGTCTTGCTCGTGCTTGGCTGTCTCCGTTTGCTGCAGAACTGTAATCTGCTAGCATGGCCAGGTGGCTGTTCAAGGTACATTCAAGGCTGCCAAAATCATAGGCTTGGGTTACAAGGCAGATGTCTTCCACATATACAAATCGTCATTCAATTTTCAGAGGTACATCTTCTTGGTTCTTTCGGTAAAGTCACGTAGAATGGAAATAATAAAATAATACAAATAAAACAATAAAATAATTCTCACGACGTTTCGGCCACAACGCAAGCAGCCGAATTCAGGTGGAGAACACGTCTGTCGAGAAGACAGAGTCTGAATGGCACGCCCCAGGCTTGGAGCGACTATTTAAGCTGGGATGGAGGGGCGAAGAGCATCTTGACAAAAAAATTGCATATCAAGAGGAATTTAGCATATTTATGGGAAATGTAGATGTGCGATTAGTACTACTTGTGAAATGCGTAGGAGGTTTGGCGAGGGGTTTAAAGTCATTATGCCCATGCATTATGCAGGATTAGCAGTATCAAAGGGAGGGAGTAAGGTTAGAATTAATAAAGGGAAGGAATGTTAATAATATGGCGCCGCAGCAACTAATATGCTTATTGACTATACCTTGTCATATTACACTATGTTTTATTCTACCCACCCAACTGTATACCACACTGCTGTATATTCACTATACAATTACGATACTATATATTACCTTATACATTGTATTAAACATTACACTTTTATACTATTTATTATTATACAATATGCTATACACTATACCATTGACCGTCGCGTGAAAGGTACTAAGAGGAAGCAACGAAATATGTCAATGGGAGAGTGGTGGTGGGAAGCTTGCAGCGGAGCAAAGAATCCATTCCCTGCGGAGAATACAAGATATATAGTCAATGTCAGTGAGTGGACTGCGGTCTGAAAGTCACCGTAAACGTGAACACAATCAGTTAAGATCCGAAATGGTTTATTACATCCTTCCAATGATTGCTGAGCCAGAATCCATCTTCTCGGTTGAAATTGTCTCTGTGTTTGTACATGTGGATCGCCTCATGAACAAATCTCTCATGGTAGCCGGATGGCTTGCAGAGAACATCTGTCTTGGAGAAGTCAATATCATGTGAGCCCACTGAATTGTAACAGTGATCTGCCACGGCTGAGGTGTTTGTCCTACCGTGTTTCAAGTCTGCTTTATGTTCACGGATGCGGTCTTAGATATGTCGTTTGGTTTCTCCAATGTAACTGCTACCACAGATTTCGATTTAAAGCTTTCATGACTGCAGGGATTCATCTTCTTGGTTCTTTCGGTAAAGTCACGTAAAAAAAGAAAAAAAAATCTCCAAAATCCTGGTAAAACACAAGATCCAGGTCCGATTCAACACAGTACATAACATCCGTGATCTGGTCCCGTCTGTAAAAGACGTGGTTCCAGACATACAGTACCCTGGCGTTTACAAACTAAGTTGCCTCTGTGGTAGCAGTTACATTTGAGAAACCAAACGACCAGTTTGTAAGTGGGGGAGTTGATAGTAGAGACAATGGGACGAGAGGCGTATTTTCTTTATGCATCTTTGGCAAGCCATATAATCTTGGTGGCCTGGCTGCAGAAGGTTTCAACGAGAACTGTTTGGTTTGATCAAATAATGCGGTTGAATCAGAAATGATTTTGTTGGTTTTAATGACGAGGCTGTTGGTGGGGTCTCTTTTTATTTTTGTATAGCTACCATCGTTGAGTAGTTCTTGAATTTTGTTGTTGTATTCTATTTTGTCCATGATGACAGTGGCATTGCCTTTGTCGGCTGAGAGGATGACAATGTCATCCCTCTTTTTTAATTGAGCTAATTCAAAACGCTCATCTTTGCTGATGTTGCTAGCTGGTATCTTAGCGTTTTTGAGGGTTGCAGCGATTTCAGATCTTGCTACGTCTGCAGCGATGTGACTCAGGCCCTTGAGAGCCACATCTACTCGGGCAATGATATCATTAACTGGTATGTGTCTAGGTGTGACTGCAAAGTTTAGTCCTTTAGCTAAAACGGATTTCAGACCATCAGAAAGAGAACTGTTACTGCGATTAATTACGACTTTGTTAACGTCTAGCTTTTCAGTGTGTGGGTCCGGTCTCTTATTTGAGAGGCGGTTAAATTTGGAAATCAAATTGTCCTTACATTTGGTCAAAATAGCGGCAGCTGAAGAGGCAGTCATTTTGTCTACATGTTCCCAATCCGATGTGGACATTGTGGCAGTCAAAGATAAGTGTGATTTGTAGAGTGTCTTGTCTAACTGATCTAGTTCGATGCGCGATTCTGGCTCAGCAATCATTGGAAGGACGTAATAAACCATTTCGGATCTTAACTGATTGTGTTCACGTTTACGGTGACTTTCAGACCGCAGTCCACTCACTGACATTGACTATATATCTTGTATTCTCCGCAGGGAATGGATTCTTTGCTCCGCTGCAAGCTTCCTACTACCACTCTCCCATTGACATATTTCGTTGCTTCCTCTTAGTACCTTTCACGCGACGGTCAATGGTATAGTGTACAGCATATTGTATAATAATAAATAGTATAAAAGTGTAATGTTTAATACAATGTATAAGGTAATATATAGTATCGTAACTTT